AGCGTTGAAAAACACGTCTTTTAAAAAAAAAAAAAAATCGAAATTCGTGAGGGGCGTGGTAAAGTGCATTTTAGCCTAGCAATATCCCGGCTGCGGGTGTTAACGCGCTTTTTCGCGGTATAAAATGAATAACAACAATACGGCCTATTAATAACTAAAAATACTAAGATTATATGTATAAATTATGTATTTTCCAAACATTCACGGAATATTTAGTTAACATAACAAAGTTATGTAATTTTGTATACACACAATGTATATTACTGGAACGTTCTTTTTCAATGTTAAATGCTTATATGCTTATGAAATATTCTTGTAACAGTCAAGGAACATGCCATTGTAATGTTTATACTAAGACTTAAATTGTATATTAGTGGAATGTTTGTAACATTACTTTGCACGGTGGGTAACATCTGAAAATTACGATCATCGCATTAATCGTATTGATGAAGAAAACATTATAGCTAAAGCTTTTTCAATGTCTGATGAAAACAATCAGTAAACTACAATTATTTCATCGAAAGTACTGACTTATATAAAAAAAATTAAACATTATTAAGTATATAATATCATTATTAATTTTTTTTTTATTTTTTAAATATTAATAAATAGGTATTTATAAAAAGTTGTAAACGTATTTAAATTTAAAATTAAAAAATATTTAAAAGTTTTAATTAATTTAATAAGCAAACAACTTTTTTTACCTTGATTTGATCCTTTAGAACTGTATTTAGGGCCGTACAGACTTCAGGAACAATTTTAGATATAACTTCGCTGGACACTGAATAAAAAGTGGAGACTTTTAAAACTATCACCTGTGGCCAAATATCTTAAGGTAATCGCAAGGCGCAATTTAGCAGGTATTGCCAATCTCCAATGTGTATCTTTTTTTGAAATGATCGGTGGCACTTTACTTAATAAGTATTCAAAATGGGCGGTGGTAAACTCTCCCGATTTTTCAAAATAGTAAGCTCTCTCGATGGTAAACTCTCCCGGGTTAATATTATGTTTACCTGAAGTAAATGTGTAAACTCTACCGGGTCAACTTTATAGTTACCTGTAGGAAGTATGTAAGATCTCCCAAGTTGTTTTAAATATTATTACTACACTACGAGTTGGCTACACTGCAGAGATTGTGATTATCATTTTATCGTATCGTATTACCATAAATGTGTAAATCATATTACCGTTAAACTATATTTGTAATTTAAATATTTAAATTATAACCACGTTGTCACTTTGATTATTATAACCATTTTTGCTCAACCAACTTTTAAGTACTGCACAAATCAAAGAAACAAAGAAGTGTTGATTATGTCCTCATTTATTTTCCACAAGCAATCAACATTATCGAGTGGTGAAGTCAAATGGAAATGTAGTGCGAATAAATGCCCGGCACTTATATATATTATCGGTAAGTAATTATTTAATTATATGATATATTATACTTTGAAACGTAATGATACGTAAGTATGCTATTCATTAACTATGTGATTTGGACGATTTGGTACATATTGTACGATATAATCAAAATATATCACAAGATTAGTAGCTTATAGTTGTAGTCTACTGGACCAATGCGTCGTTCATAGATGCGCAGGTTTCCGGATCGACACTCGAAATCAGATCATTTTCTTTTGCATTTTATTCTTTTTTTTTACGTTATGATTAGTGATGGGATTATATATCATGACAAATTATCGTCGTTAACAATTTTATTATAGCTAGGTCTTTCCGCTCAAATTATCGGCGTTATATATTATCTATTATATTGCCTATCATATGTATTATTATTTTTATTATAACATATATACATGAATAGGTATAAGTTATCATCGATAATAATGTTATCATAAGTATCCAATTAGTACGTCCAAAACTAAGCAAATAACAAATACTATATACTAACAATACTATAAAAAGTTTATTTATTTTTCAATTTTTAAGCGTATTTAGGTATAGTGCATTTTTTGAAATAAAATATTTTCTAAATTTTTTTCGTTTATCTTTTTCAGATAAAGAAACTATGTCGAGATCCAATGAACACAATCACGTTTCTGATGAGCAAAAAGTACTTGTTAAGTTAGTACAACATGTTTAACACAATCGGGAAAGAGAAAAACGACTGAAAACATTTCAGATGCTCCGCGTAAAATCCTACGTAAAGTTTTACAGGAAAGTAATAGTGATGCCATTGATACCAGTGACTTATTAAGAATTAAAAGAAATATGTATAATGCAAGACGTAAAAATTTTCCAGCATTACCCAAAAATATTTTAGATATTCATAATATATTGAAAACGTTTGAAGTAAAAACTTCTAAAGATGAAGACTTTTTGTTGTTAAATGACGAACTTCATAACTTAGTAATATTTGCATGCTCTACAAATTTAAATTGTTTAACGCAATCAGAAATTATTTATTTAGATGGTACTTTTTCTTATTGCACTAAGTTTTTTAAACAATTGGTGACTTTACATGGCTATATAAATGGTCACTATATACCATTAATATTTTGTTTATAATCAGATAAATATACTATATCCTATGAACGTATATTTAAAATGTTAGTTGATAAATGTGCTAATATGAATTTATTATTTTATCCTAAGACGGTTATTGTAGATCTTGAAAAGTCTATATATAATGCTGTTTTAAATGTTTGGTCTGGAACAAAAATAGAATGCTGCAGATTTCATATCACACAGTGTGGTAGAGAAAAATCCAGGAATTCGGTCTTTCTGTAGAATATAGAAATGGCACAAGAGATGTTGGAAAATGGCTGCGTTATGTTTCTGGATTATTATTTATAGATCCAAATGAAGTTGGAAATATTTATGTATTTACATTAGCTGCGATAATGCCTCCAGAAAATGAAAAATTGGACACATTTGCTTCATACTTGGTGAGTACGTATATTGATGATGATGCATTATATCCTCCAACAATGTGGGCATCAGCATCATCATCAACTTCAAAAACAACAAACGCTTGTGAATCGTTCCATTCGCATTTAAATTCATATTTCTCAAGTACTCATTCATATTTATTTATATTCATTAATGCTCTAACGGATTTTCAAACTCAAATATACGTTAAAATTCAAAGTTGCAATAAATTAAACAAATCGAGTAAAAATATTTATACAAAAAATAAAGAAAAATATATCCCAAAAAATATTAGATGATAAAGAAAAAAAAATAGATTCCCTAACTTTTTTAAAATCTGTATGTTGTTATATTGGAGCATAGTACGTAGTTTTATTAGAGTAATATGATATGTATACTGGCCAGTGTTGCCAGACTCTCTATCTATGATTATGGCACAGGTCTTCAAAAATTATCACATTTCCCATGAAATTATCGTATCATCAAAAAAATCTAAGACCGTGGATTAGCCATAGATAATAAAGATATGGATAGGACATATTGGTCTTATCAGCGGTCTTCGAGGGGAACAATTGAGGCCAAATAAAGTATACCTATATTGAGTATCGACTATCAATATAAAGGAGCCTCAATTGCCTTCCCCTCCGGGAACGCGGCCTCAAATGTATTTAACATAGGCGTGGCCTATCCATATCTTTATTATCTATGGGATTAGCCCATCGTTGTTATCATTTAATTTTATCAACAAAAACAAAACATTTAATTTTTTTTTGAAATCATCTTTAAATATTTAATGTAATCTGTAATTTATTATTCTGCCTATAATATAATATAGTATTGTATAAATATGCTATTACACAAATAACATGGATTCATTTTAACATTGTTGTACATGGTTTTAATTAAATTGGTTAGATAACATATTATTTAACATTTTAAATAAATAAAAACATTCAAATATGTAACAATTTTTTAAGAAAACAATACTTCAACATCATTATCTGAACTTTTTTTGTATAAATTATCAGCTGTCATGGAACTCAACATTTTTTCATCAGGAACAAAATTAACACAACAATTACTTTTATTATGAGTAATACACTCTGAGGCCCTAATTATACCATTTAAACTATCAACTAATAATTTATTTCTTGACTTTGTTTTACTAAGTTTACTTTCGAAAAAATTCTTTCGCAACTAGCATTGGAATGTGGTATAACTAATGCATTTAAAGCAAAGTTTCCTAGCTGTTCAAATTCAAGTACCCCATCTCCTATATCAAATGTTTTAATTTATTCCAAAATGTGTCTACTGATGTCTCAGTTTTGATTTGATCAGGTAAATTAATTAAAGGAAGGCTTCTCCATTGGTCGTCAATGATTTGTTGTGTTTTAGTATCTTTTGAAGTAATTCTATGAAAACAATTCATAAGAGGTAACAAAGATTGTGGACGGTCATTAACATTTCCTAATGCAACTTTAATTGACAAGTATGAAATAAGAATCATAGTTTGGTCTTTAAAATCATACCTCATCTTAATTTGTTTACATGCAGTTATTACAAAGCCCTGACATTTTTTACCAAACTCTGTTACATTTTTTTTATCTTTAACTTTGTCTGTATTTTGTATAGCATTGTTAACACTTATACCCAAATACATCTGATCAATAGGAATATAGTTAGCTGAATTATCTAAATCAATTTCATATAATTTAGATGAGCTTAAAGATATCACTCTTTGATTAATGACTATCGATAAAAAATCCTTAAATGTATTACTCATTTTCTCATGAAGAGTTGTTATTAAGACCTTTTTCTCCTTGGAACAGCTGATTTAAACACACAAATTTGGGTAAAATAAACTGCAAAAAATAGAAATACAATTTGGTAACCTTGTCGTTAAGAAGTTGCTGGATTTTTTCAACAGATGTTAATCTTAGTTCATAAAGGCGAGATGTGAAAAAGAGTCTTAATGGTTCCCATTGTTCGACTAACCTGTCAACAGCACTCAATAGTGACAGCCATCTATAAAAAAAATACACTGTTATAAAAATGTAAAACACAAATAAATATTATTTTATTTAAACCTCGTTTGTGATGGTCTCAACATTTTATGAGGCTGTAAATCCAGGTAAATTTTCTCTTAAGCGACTAGTCACAGAATTACTTTGACCAAACATTGTGTTACATCCGTCTGAAGCAAATCCTACAATATTTTCCATAGGTACACCGTTCTGAACAAATGACTCTATGGTTTTTTCATACAACCTGAAAAAAATAAAGCATTTAAATTTAGTGAAATTTAGGTAGTAAAAATTTTTGGTGATATACCTTTCTCCTGTAGCACCAGAAACTGCTTCATCTACATTAGTGAATACTTGCACCATACTCCAAAAATTTGTTTGAATTTGATTTAATTTTGTATCAAAATACCTTACACAAATACACATGGATTTCAAGGCACCAATGTCTGTTGACTCATCAATAAGTATACTGAAATATTGTGTTTGCATTTTATGTATAAGATTTTCAAAATGACAAGAACCAATAACGTTTTTTGTAATCGATGTAGCTTTAGTTCTTCCCATTTGTATACCATTCACAATTTTTGAGTCAGGAATAGCTGATTTAAGTACGCCTACAAGATGATCAACAAAGTTAAACGATATATTGTGTTTTGCAATCATTCCACATAACTTAGTTTCAGCTGATTTTACTAATTGGTCAATTGGATCATTTTTCTTTTTAGCAAACATTTGATCGATGCTAACCTTTGTTGAAGATTTTAAATTTTGCAAATGCTTTGTTCCTTTGCCGTGATTTTTAATTACAGTTAATTCAGAAAGAAATTCTGAATTGCAAACTTTACATTTTGCTTTCAGTGGCTTACCTTTAACTGAAGTTAACCAACTTTTATACTCCGGTTTCTCACACCACTCGTTACGAAAATGTTGTTTTGCGTGATGTGAACGCTTTTCTTTTGGTAGTTCATGTCTGATGGATAGTTTTTTTACTGGTGTACTTTCTCTTTTTAACCTTTTAACCATTTGTGGGTCGTCAGGGTCTGAGTCACTATCACGTAACATATTATTATTGTCAAACAATTAAAAAAAAACTAAACAAAACCATACAAAAAAAACACAAAGGAAATCATCCATAGACAATACACTTTACTATTTTACGATTGACGTTCCTTTAATAATTAATATTGTTGGTTAGGTTCAATATTTATATTCAATATTCATCAGTTACTATTTTTAGATTATATTGGAACGTTGTTATGGAACATGGATGAATCACTACCTAGTACCTAGTACCTGTAGTTCCACAAAGCTTTTGTTCCACAATAATATATATTTTCCTAATAAATCTTTTACTTATCATTCTGTAGTACAGTGTATGTACATGTACAGTGTACACTGTCTTTTATATTATTTTGTTATTTTATTTCAAATTTTTTTTTTAATATTTGTATAAAGTATAAATAATTTAACTATAATATCGGTTATATTCATTAATATAAAGTTATGCCTCGTACTGTCATTAGGTCATTATAAGGTTTTACTGTTTTAGTTTAAAAAATATTAGAAAACAATTTATTGATATTATCGTAAAATTCAGTGTTATGGTATAGTGGTGATGGGCTATGGGCTAGTGGATAATTTATCGTAAGCGCCCATCAGTTATCGTATACCTGGCAACATTGATACTGGCGTACGTGACTACGGGAAGCGATATAAGAAACCCTAGACGCTGCAGAGCGGTCATAAAATGCGAATTTCTTATTGGTCGGCTGATCGTTATCAATAATATTAAATTATTATCACTCGAAATTATTATTATTATTGTTTGTTACTTATCTCTGATATGAATGTTTATAATAGTAAATAGGTATATTTATTTGATTACCTATTTAATTTATTTGCATTTAAATTTGAGTTTATAATTTGTTTATTATTTCATAATATATTAACTTACGTTATATTTTACGATTATCTACGAAATTTAAACGCAACATTATGGATATCAAAAATATTATAGATGAAATAAATAATAGTAATAGAGATTTGCGTTGTGAATTAGTCGATATTAAAAATAATATTGCAGTGATACGTTGCAATTTAAATACAACAGATGATGTTGAAATATTTTTTGATCTGTTTAAAGAAAAAAGTGCCACTAATTGGATTGTTCAAGGGCAATTAAAAAATCCAGAGAAGTTTGTTAAATATATAATAAAATCTAAAATTTGTGTATGTACCTAATATAATTTAAATTTTGTTATCGTTTTATAGAGTTGTGTATCATAAGTATTGGTTGTGCCAACATAGCCAAAGAAATAAAGTGTATCAACCGAATGTAAAAGAGTTAACTCCCAGAAATACCTTGTGTGAATCTAAAATTGATATTTTGATTAAAAAGAATAACAGAAATACTAGGAAAAATGATTTATTTCTAAAAAAGAATCCTCCATTATGTGGAAAAATCACTTTAATGATTAAGCATAATCATACCATTAATACAAGTGGTTCCTTAAAATATTTACGTATTCAATCAGAAGTAAGCAGTTCTAGTTTTTTAAAATATTGTAGTATGTAGTATTTATAGGCGGCATTTGGCTCTTATTAACAGGGGGGGGGGGGGCAAAATTAATTATAATTTACTGACCTATTTAAAAATCTTCTCATACTAAACTTATCTAATACATATACATTCCACCTAAATTTTACTTACTTATTATCTCAATAAGAGCAGATAACATTTAACCTTCTATACTTTTATAATTCATATTTAAATAATTTCCCAGTTAAGTGCCACTAATGACTAATTTGTGGTTTCTTATTCTTATTTTCATTATATTTTTGTTCTATTACCACATATACTTATTGTATTAAATAATACAAATTGTGCATCTTAATAAAAAAAAATATGGCTTATGTTATGTTTTAAAAGTAATCATAATATTATATTAATATCTACAGTTTTATAGAATTTACATTAGTTTATATTAATTTATGGTAATATTGATAATTTTGATCCGACTTAACATGGGGAATAATTTTCTTATATAATTGTACAAAAGTAATTTCAACATAAATATTTTATAAAAATTAAAAATTGTTCAAATCATATTTAATTTATGTGGGGCAAAACATAATTGAAGTTTTTGTTTGTAGTCTATCTGTGTAGAGAAAAATATTTAATATCACATAATTTTACTGTTGTAAAATAATTATATAATATTATATTCAGCATTTAAAATATTTGATTTTTATTTTAAAAATATTATATTAATTATAGAAGTAACTAGTAATTACTAATATAGTAATAAATAATATATAATATTTATTTTATGATATTAAATATATTACAATATTATTATGTTCCATACCTTCTTATTATAATATAGGTATATGGTATATTATGTATAATGTCCATTGTAATAAATAAAATAACATCGTTTTATATTATGTAGTATTATTATTTTCAACTTTTATTTAATATAATAATAATGATTACTTACCTATTATTATTAGTAGTAGTATTTAGTAGTATTTATAATCAATGGTAGTATTAATAAAATAAATATACAATTTCCTGTAATTGTACCTATTCATTTTAGATCATAATAGTAAACAATACTCTAAAATAAATTTGTCTGTGTTTAAAGTTTGAAAGTTTGAACTATTGAGTAATGACTAATAGTAACTAAACTTAATGATATACATTTTGAAAACATCAAATTAGTAGTGCTTTTGGTATTGAGTCCACAATTTATAAACTGCAGTTTTCCAATACTTCAAATGTTAATACTACATTCATAATTATTATGATATATGCATTTTAGACTGAGCAAACATTTATGCAGTATTTTAATGATGGAATGGGACCAAATGAGGCTTGTAGATTTCATCAAAATCAAATAATGAAGAACAAAAGTCCATTAAAAATTCTAGCCAATGGATCTATAAATCCAATAAAAAATACTGTCTATCATTTACATAACGTTTGGAGAAACTTAAATTTTGGTAGCATAGATGCTCCATTGGAGAAGTTAAAAGAAAAAATTGATTTGTATGATTCCCAAGGTGAATTTATAATGAACAATATAACAATTGATTAAATAATAAATAATTATTATTTCATTATTTAATCAACGATATAAATTATAAGATATTGCTAGAATTATGTTTGAAGATCATATCATGATTAGAAAATGTAGTAGGTAGTAATAACTTTACTAATAAGCATTACAATTATTTTTAATTAATACTTTAATGCTAATACTTTTAAAAGTGTTTAATTATTTTGTATTAAATAAATATACATTATTATAAAACCAATATTTTATTAACTTCACATTGAAGGTATAAAATTGATAATTTACAAAAATAAGTTTTGGAATCTTGTATAAAAATGTAAAATATCAGGTTATATTGAAAATATTAGCATTTTTATTGTTAAATCAATACAATTATAAAAATACACACCCATATCAAAAGTATTAATTTATCAACTGAATAATTAAATAAAAATGTACATGAATACAAAATATTTATAATTATTACTTAGGAATCTCTGTAAATATACTTGAGGAAAAGTCTAATTGGGTTGTTCTTGTTTCAACATCAGTAATGAAAAGAGCTCAAATGTTAAGTTCTTCAAAAGAATTAATATTTTGTGACAGTAGTAGTAGTTGTGATACTTTAGAAACGACTATCACTATTCTGTTGACAGTAACTAAAGCTGGAGCAGTACCTATAGCACTTTTATTACATCCGCGACAAAATGCTGAAAGCTATAAAACTGCTTTTGGATTTTTAAAGCTAATATACCCAAAGTGTTTTGGGAATATTGATGTAAGTTTATTTTGTATTAATTTAAACATATAGATAAAATTTGTTATTATTATACTGATTAACCATTGTCTATAATTTTAGGCACCATATGTCTTTATGACAGATGACTCAGCTGCTGAGAAACAGGCATTACATGAAGATTGGCCTACTAGCAAGCAATTATTATGTCATTTTCATGTAGGTCAGAAAGAATGGCGTTGGTTAACTGACTCAAAAAATCAAATTGTCCAAGACAAAAGACAATCATTAATGGAGTTTTTTAAAAAAGTATAAAAAATTAATCCTACTAATAAAAAAATATTTAAATTTTTTTAGTGGTATGATATACTATTATAATTAATAGGTCATGTATGCAGACAATGAAAAGAATTTGGAAGAAGCTGTGTTGGATATTAAAAAATTATCAAATGATTTTCCAAAGTTTGTAAAACGTTTTGAAATTTTTTACAAACGAAGAACACAATGGGTTCAATTATATCGTTTAAATATTTTAACACGTGGGAATAACACTAATAATTATGCTGAAGCATCAATAAGGGTTTTAAAAGAAATTGTTCTATGTAGAACTAAAGCATACAATGTTGTTGCTTTAGTTGAGTCAGTTTCAAAAGTATGGGAAGAATACTTCATCACAAGAATATTAGACCATGCACATGTCCGTAAAGATGAAATTCAAAGAAAATATATTGAACTATATAAAAAAATGTCTAATATAACTGTAAACGATATTACAAATCAAGGTAATGGATTGTTTTTAATACCTAGCTCCTCAAAAACTGATGTTCAGTACACAGTAAACATAAGTATTGGAGTTTATAATTGCTCTGTAGGAGTTGTAGGAGCGTTTTGTAAACATAAGGCTTGGCTCCATAAAAACTTTAATTTATCTTTTCCTAATGCACCATCTGTAACATCTGAAGAGCGACATTTACTTGGGAAATTGGCTCTTGGAGAAAAATGTCCCTCAAGTGGCTGGTTTCATGCTCTTAAAGAAAGTAATTCAATATCCACTAATATTGATCATACTACTTTAAGTAATGACTCAATAGATCAAGTTAATTTCAATTTCAAAGACAGTTCAAATTTGACTGATTTTCCAATTATAAATGACATAAATGAAACTGAAAGGAATACTACTGTAACAAAAAACATAAAAGATGAATTTTCCAGATTAGAAGACTACCTAATACATGTACCACTAGACATTCGTGAAAAGTTTGCTACCA